AAAAAAAAGTCAATCTCGGAAGGCATCAACACATAAATGGTTTGTTAACACATTACAATTATTAATTGATCAGGTACTTGCAAAACAATGGATCTCACATGTAATCTGATATGGATAACCAGTTTATCTTCCCCTTCATCTTTCCCCTCTCACTCATCCCAGTTTAAAACATGTTTAAGCTTTACCGCTCTATGTATTTGATGAAAATTGCTGGAGATCATGAAAGTTTGTGCCTTTTAATAAAAACTTTAGTTGGGGAAGATGCTGCCAGATTCTTGATTTTTTGCCATCGTAGATGAATACAGCTATCTTCCTACAATAACAACAACACAATCACTGGTCTTTAATTAATGCAATACCTGGATAAATTTTCAAATATTAACACCCGTCACATGCCTAAACTTCAACGGAGTTATAATGTGTTTGTTTCATGGGCAAAAATGATTTTAGAAAATGGCACTGCTATAAACAAGGCTACTAATATTATTTTAAGCTTCTAATGTTTGCCTTGATTTTTAGGCCTTAAAAGTTTTCAGAGATGTATTTTAAAAATAATAAATAAAGTTTCATAATTTGCTTAGAATATATTTCCTAAACCCTTTCAAAGAATTTGAAACTAAACAACAAAAAGAAAGATGTTACGTTGTTTGAAAGTTAATACATCCATATTATTACACCACAATAGAAAGCTGAGGAACCATGCTGGTTGAAATATGGATTTAATAATGTGCATGTTGTTAAGAGTCAGCTTGCAAATACTTCTAAAGTGTATCGGCTAAAGTGTATCGGCATACTATTCCTATTTTTTTCCCAGCAATTGTCTACATTAATCTAGTACTGTCAGGAGGTGATACATCTATTTATCTAACATGTCAAAACATGATGAAGGGAGTCACATTCACTGCTCATATGTTTTTCTTATTTATATATAGATCAAGGAAAAATTGTTTGGAACAAAAGATATGCAGCAGAAGATGCAGAAAAACTTATTCTTGCTTCACAACATTTTAATTCTGAAACCAAAATTAAACTAAATTAAACCATTTGAGAATATAACAAAGTATTGTCTATTGTGACTGTCTATTCTTCCCCAAAAGGTTTTATTTCACCAAAATACCTGCAGTGATTTGAACCTGCAAATCTTTAGTATGTCTACTCTATATTCAAAATATATAGTCTTTCATTTTTTTATCCAAACGTGCAAAATATAATTGTAGCTGAGAGATTAAGTTCTCCTTACCTACAATATTTTTGTCGCTAAAACTGGTCACTTTGGATCTGCTTTTATTTTAATTTTAAAATTAATTATATTAATTTTTAATTATATTTATTTATTTGTGAATAAATATGAATGCTCTTATTTATTTTCGCCTTGATTATCTGTTTATCAAATAGGTAAAAAGATGACCAGGCATGTGACTTCAGTTCAAGCATATATGAAGAGTCCTATAATTGTGAGAAAGAGACAGTAAAACACAGATAACTGAAAAAAAATATCTCCTGTAATATTCTTTATGATTAAAGATATACCCTTGTTATCTGGAAGGTGTACTATGATGAAAAGGAAGTTCATTTGCCCGTTGTATCTATGAAGCTGTAAAATGATATGTGAAATTAAACCTAGTTACTCCAATCAATAATCTAATCTACATTATTACACAGAATAAGTTAACCCAAGTTTAATATGTAACAGAGTTGTTCAGTACATCAAGTTTATAAGTGTGTGTGATTTACTATTTAGTGAGTGAGAGATTTCATTATCGTGGAATTCTTTTCTTAATCTGGATATAATTACAAAAATGGAAATTACCAAACATAAGAAAACTATTGTACTTTGTCTTTGATCTGTTGTTCTTTCAACCTTATAGTAGGTGAAAAAACATCCCTGGTTCACAATATAAAGAGTTTGTTTATATAAATAAACAAATAAATAAATAAATAAACAAATAAATATATAAATAAGTAGATATTTGATTGATAGTTCTCCCAAACTGCTAATGTAAGATACTTACATATAAATATACAAATAAAGTGACAACAGAATGACTAAATAATATAGTATTCACTAATGACTCAGATTATTAATTACATGCAAAAGGAATTTTGAATCTGACCTTAAACTTTTCTAATGAACATCCTATTAATTTCAATGGATCTATATCTTACATAAGTCTGTTTTGAGAAATCCATCTTGAAAATAAAGACATGAATATAAACTTTCAGGATTGATCTGCTACTAGTTTTTTTTAATTATTATTTTAGCTAATTGAAAAAGAAGGTTTAATTCTGATGAAGACTCAGTAGCACTTAGAACTAAAATCTGTTTTGAGTTTCATGGTTCACATATATAATCTTCAAGGAAAAGGAAAATTTCTTTTTCATTACCAGAATCTGAAACACATTTAGAAAGATAAAATCTTGAAAAAATATTTTCAAAATAAGAGGCACAAAGTTATTCAGCTAATTAACAAATTGACTTTGAAATGCACAAATATGAGAAAAAATATATATACCAAACTATCAAGTTGTCATAGCCCACCCATCATCCAATGTTTGAGGAGGGTCTTTCCATTTGGTGGTCAGGAACAGACCAAAAACAGGTTTAAGCTTCTTGTAAACTGGAGGCAGTTTAAGCTTATGTTTGTTTGTTTTTTGAAATTGAAGCTTGCTTGCACATAGATAACATGAGTGCACTCTGGACAGTTTGCTCATAACTGTGATGGCTGCACTGAGCATAAGAACAGCCATTAGGGACTCCCTCCATAGCCTGAAGGGAAGATGGGAATATTACTGGGTTAAATGTTTGTGCTGTAACTCTTTCAATCACCACCACCACCTTCTCCTCCTCCTCCTCCTCCTCCTCTTCTTCTTCTAATTTGAAAATAACTGGTGTATATTCTTGCCAATCCATATTAAAATCTGAAACAAAAAGTCACATTGGAAGGTGAAGCAAAAAGTTGGACCTCTTATATTTTTAATTTTAAAAAATGGAAAGTGAAGCTAAATGTTGTAAGACAAGAAAAACAAAGCATAAGCTCCATCATCATTGTTCAGAGTCCATAGGACCATAATAAATTGGTACCCAGAGATACCTTATTTGGTATTTAGAAATGATGAAAGAAATGTCCTTCTGGATTCGGCTCCGAGTGGGGAAAGACACTGGAGACATGGAGGCTGCTTGGAAAGATGGTTTATTGGTGGACAGGACCACATGGCTTGAGTCCTGAACAGAAAAGGTGACCAAATGCTTCAATGTTGGCTGAAGAAGAAGGAAGGACTAAGATGCTGAGTCCCTGGTTTTATGCCCTCTCTGGCCTTTGATCTTGAGCTTCTATTCTGATTGGTTGTCAGACTCTCATGGGGACATACAGAGGGAACTCTCTAGGCTGTGTTTTGAATCCCAAGTTTGGTTGAGTTCTCAGATGCCGTGTGGTGAGTTTCTGTGAAAAGCTGATACTACCTTTATTAGGTAAAGTTTTAATGGCTCATTGACAAAGGGAGGTGGGGGCAGGAAGCTACAGGGAGCTATTCTCTCTTTAAAACATGTTTCTTCCTTTTCACATCCAGGGAAATATTTTGCCTTTTCAATATTTCCTAGGATATTTCATTTTTCTGGGAGAGGGCTGGGTGATAACTTCCTACAGGAATATGAAACTATCCTCCAGGATTTTTAACAGGAATAGTATATAGTTTGTGGATTTGCCCTAAAATTCAAACACAATGAAATTACATTGCTACTGTTAAAGGTGTTCTTCTCCTTGCTCTAAAACAGAGCTGCTTACACTGTTTGACCCAATTATCTTTTTCTCTGGCCTCAAATAATGTCATAACCCAACTTATTAGTAAATAAATGTAATAATAAAAAATACACCATCCATCCACTGAAAAAACATTATTTTTATTGTTTCTCACAAGCAGAACAGTTCCAAAGTGGATTTTCAATTCACAAAGAAGCAATTACAAATTGCTCCATTACCTTCAGGATAGGCTCAAATTATTCCTTTAGGTGTAATTAATTTCTCTTTAAGAATGAGTGCTCTAAATCATTATTCTGAATACTAATTCTGGATTGGAATATAACTTTTTTTCCCCTATTGTGGCCTTTGATGAACTTTTTGACAAATAAATAGCAACTGGTAATGTCCCCTATTGCTTTCAATATACAGAATTAATTTCTTATATATGCAATCCAACGTGGTGACACGCTTTGTGAACCTATCAGCGTTTTCATTAACTTTAATGCAGACCCCAAAAATCTGGCAGTCAGCTTGTTCAGAACCATATTTAACTGCATCTCCTATTTTTGTATGTGGGTGTGTGCCACTTCAGAAAGATGGCTTAGTCAGAATTTCAGGAAAGCAGAATCCAGTAGGTGGGAGCGTCTCCCTTCCTTTTCTCCCCAAAACCGTTTCCTCCAGCACCACCACTTATGATTTTCAAAAGGGGATTAGCATATACAAAGCAAGCAGCAAACTCCTCCTCCTCCAAGATACTCCTTGAATCAGCGGAGTAGGGGACGGGGAGACAGGGACGGGGGTGGGGGAGAAGGAGCTTTGAAACCCAGGCAATTTCTAAGTTGCGTCTTGTGCAACCCACACCATGTTTTCTGAGACCAAAAGGCTATACTTATCGTGATAAGGCGGAGAGGGAGGGAGCCAAAGTAACCCCAATTGCCATGAGCGGGGGGTGCTTTACTGCAGCATAAGGGGGCGGGCTGAGGAGTGGGTTGGTTGCGAACAGAGGCTTCATTGGCGCTGTCCCCGGTGCTGAAACGGCAAACCCCGCTCAACAAGGAGAGCCGTGCGGCAGAAGAAACCACCCTCCCCGCTTCAAGGGCCTGCGCGGGGCGAGCAAAGAAGGGGCGGGGGGCGCACTCGCGGCGGGCACGCGCACGCCTGCTTCTTTCCTTTCCTTTGCCTTGCCCGGACTCCGGGAGTGCGTGCGTGTCTGTGCATGTGTGGTGTGTGTGCGCGCGTGAGTGTGTGTGTGTGTGTGTGACAGAGAGGGGTGAATGTGTGTGATAGCCGACGAAGGAGCTGGATGTACCGAAGCGTCGGGACCACAACAGCAGCATTGAAAAACTGCATTCAAGCTGCCTCTTTCTTCCTTGGGCTAGCCTCAAGAGCACTGCAGCAGCGGGCCAAACCCTCCCCACCCCACCCCCAGCACCCAGATCCTTTTGCTTCTGCTGGGAGATCCTCTCCAGCTCGAGTCCTTCGGCTGCTTGCTCAATATGCAGAGGATCTAATTTGCTGAGCGAGAAACGGTCAGGGAAGAAGGAGGCGGTAGTAGTGGAACAGGAAGACCAGGAGGAGGAGGAGGAGGCAGCAGCAGCAGCAGCAAAGGAATATTTCTGGCTTGGTGGATGCTCTACTTTTCATGGCAATGCAAAAAAATCGGCAGATTTCTCTTTTCCTGGCTCTTTTGATTTGGGGATTCATCTGGGGGGTCTACTCAAACGGCATACAAATAGGTGAGTGTCCTCTTCAGAGCAAACCTTTTGTCTTCATCTCTCAAAATCTGGGTTGGTTTTTTTTGTTTTGTTCTTCCTCTAAAGAAGATTTGATTGAACCCCCAATTCACAGCATGCGAACTTAAATTGAGCTTCTTTGCCGAAGGGAATGGATGCAAAGTGTGCCTTCTTTAGAGACCAGTTCCCAATAGCCTATTTTGCAATTCAAATGACTGCTTCCCAGCTGTACTTTTTTTCCCCCCATTAAAAAACAGTTCATTTCCACAAATGGCTTTTAAAAGAGAATCCCCTTCGCTAACCAGTTGTGCAGATGATATTTCCCCCTGAAATCAGATCCCATGAATGGATTTGTTAAAAAGAAATCCGAAGGGGTCTGGATCAGTGAAGGATGCATATCCTAACATGGTGAAGGATATTCAGAGTGGTCCCCGCCCCCACCCTCAGCCTGTCCACCAAACTTAATCAGGGTTTGCAATTGCTGAAAAGCAGCAAGATATAACCACTACTGTAGATTAGGACAGATTGTCCTTAACATCAGTAAGATTGGAGGCCATTCTAGTCTAAGGCAAGTTCCAAAGCTATTTCCCCCAGCAGAGCTGATACAGCTCAGCCTTCAGCCCTGATGTCCTCTCTCTCTCTCTCCCTCTTTCTGTCTCTTGTTCTGTTTTTATGTTTGTCTGTCATCCAACAGGAGGGCTCTTCCCCAGAGGAGCAGATCAGGAATACAGTGCATTTCGTGTAGGAATGGTTCAGTTTTCCACTTCAGAATTCCGACTGTCACCGCACATTGACAATCTGGAGGTGGCCAACAGTTTTGCTGTCACCAATGCATGTGAGTAATCAATCTCTCCTTGGGAACCATTGTGTTCTCTAGATTGGTAGGGTTGGGGATGCAACTGCCATTGTGAATAATGCAAAGAATGAGGATAATGATTTTGGCATGTATCTCTCCCAAAATAATCTTGGGAAAACTTGGTGGAAGGGCGAGGAGCTTAAAATATGAAGTATCCATCCTATCTCTCCCTGTGATCCCTCCATCCCCCACCCCTCAGCTTTCAAACTGGATTGTACAGCTTATGTTGGCAGTTGATTTGCAAGCACAGTACAGTTCTCTTTCTGTTTTATAGAAATTGGCTTCAATTTAGGAAGGACCCCACCCTTCTCAATATCAGAGGCCCACATGTCTGAGGGGTGTGTGATTTTCTCTATTTGTTTCTAAAATTCACCCCACTTATGCTGGTGTATTTGCTTCTTGAAATTAATTCTTGTCTTTATTTGGGGTTGGATTTTTATTTATTTGTTTTATTGTTTTCTATTGCAGAATGTAGACATTTTAAATCTGATAATTACATATTTTACATATATATATATATGTGTGTGTGTGTGTGTGTGTGTACATATATACATATGTACATATGTGTGTGTATGTATGTATGTATGTATGTATGTATGTATGTATGTATGTGGGACATATACGGCATAAGATGAAGTAGGTAAAATGTGAGCTATTTCTTCTGGATCCTGTATTGGTAGCTGTCTGTCTGGTTGCACATGGCAGAGGATCACTTATATCCCTTGAGATGGCTGTATCAGGAGCAAGATTCCATGTAGGATGCATGCTAAAAACATAATTATCCCTATGCCTCTTTCAAACCTTGGACATCTTGCTTGGTTTGGAAGAAAATACGTGGAAGGAGAGTGCTAGAGGAAGCAACCAAAAGCTGCAGCTGGATTATTGCTCTGAAAAGCAATAGCTGCAGAAATACTGATCAGCCATTTTCCTTTTTGCAATTTTACCATTTTAGAATTATACTGCCCCTATCTCTTTCTCAATAAATCACATCACTTTAAGGAGCTCTCTCTTGATTTTGGGAGGAAAGAAATGAATATAAGGCACTAAGGTTTCTGAATTCGGGGTAGAAATGTCTCTTCCTATATAGTAATGCTGCTAGAATGAGGATAACTGGAATAGCAGTCTTGCTTGGCATATCTTCAATGAATCTTTAGCATATCCAGAATAAACATATGACACAGTCTTCCTCCTCCTGCTTAATTTGATATTCTTCTTGTACAAGGTTGGTTCGTATCCATTGGCTTCTACAGAAGGTCACTTGATAACTAAGCTAGGCACTCCCTTTTATTCCAGTGTACCTTGCAGATGTATTGTGAGTAAAAAAAAATGGTAGGGAAGAGTGATGTATATGCCACCATGAGTTAAGAGGTGGTATATATATCTAATTAATAAATAAATACATTTCCAGGAGGCTTCAGCAAAAGAAATGGTGTAGATATTGAAAGATCATCTAACAAAAATAAAGCGAACCCAAAATTGCTTGGGTTTATGTTGTTGTTGTTAGCTTTCAGTTTTTTTATCCATGCCTTAATTGAAAAATACATTTATTTAGGGGATAGATGATAGAACAACAAATTATTGTAGCTGCTACTACCAAACTAACAACCCTTGTCATTATTTCATTTTCTTTTCACTTAGTTATTTATCTGCAGAAATGTGTCCTTTATTACACTTCATTGTTTAACCATATCTCTTAAGATGTTCACCACTGAATTGGACATTGTTAAACTTATTACAATATTCAGTGGAGTACAATGGTCAAGAAAGTGTTGATTCCTGATCTTACAGACTAATGTTAGGCTCGAATTGAATGAATACAAAACCCACATTACAGATTTGTAGACTATCAATACAACACCTTAAAAGTCGTGTAGTTGGAGAATGGTGACTGGATTGACTCTCTACATGATGGCCTGTGTAGAAAAATAAGTCCTAGGTAGAATTATTAGAAATGTACTTTGGCATTTTGTCACCTTCTGAGAGAGCAAATTCCTCATATGAATTAACTCTGAAATGCTAACTAAAACCATGATCTGCCCTGTGGATGGAAAAGCATATTCTACCCATTCATGGGTTAGAGATTATACTTAAATGCAGCTGTCTGCAGTGAAAATTAACATATTGAATGTAATAGCTGTCATAGCAGAAAGATCGCCAAGTTCATCTTAAACCTATTTTATTGTGGAGTAGGCTTATGTAGGCAATACCAATTTTCATCCCTTGTATTAATTATTAAATAGTATAATACCACTGAAATTTCACATTTCAAAATTGATAATGTTAAAGGTTTCTCTGAATTCTTTATGAGAGAGGAGAGAGACCGAGGGAGAAGGAGAGAATTTTAGTCTTCCAGAAAAACCTTTGGACAAAAGGAAAATGTATGACTATTCTCATCGTTGGTCAGGTATCTAGGGCTATTTTAATTTTTTGGTATATTTATTAAAAGAATTTATTAAGTCAGCTCTGTATTTTTGTGATTAATTGCCCATTACTACAGGTAAGAGTCAAGTCTTAAATCTATCTCTATTTCAAAAGCATAGCCCCCCAAAAGCATAGAACTTAACCCAAAGGCTTCTGGGTATATGCAGAATACATTTTCTTCATCTGTTTTCCTCTCTTTTTAGAGCAGAAAAAAGATGTCTAGGAAGGAATTATCCTTACCACCTCTTTTTAGAAATGTGGTATAGCCAAGATCAAAAGAATCAATAAATCCCCTGGGTTCACCAGGGACAATTAAGTATATAATTTGAAAAATCAGGAAATGGAGAAATATAAAAGTTTTGAAATAAAAATAAACACAAGACTTTTAAAGAAACAAAATACAACTAACCACAGAGTGAAAAAAACAATTCAAATTAAATTAACCTGCCATAATGCTTTGAAATTAAGATTCTAATGAACCAGCATTACAACTGAATACAAATTAACTCATTTACTAATAAATAAGACATTACTTAATAGGGCTGAAAGCCCTATTAAGCGGTATAGAAGTCTAATAAATAAATAAATAAATTACTATAGCAATAGCAATAGCAGTTAGACTTATATACTGCTTCATAGGGCTTTCAGCCCTCTCTAAGCGGTTTACAGAGTCAGCATATCGCCC